ATGGAGGAAGCGTGCCAGAAAACTGACGGCTAAATACTTAGAAAAGAGCAGGGGGCCAAACCAAAAAGAACTATTGGTTAAGAAGAAGGGGAAGAAAACGGAGGCCGACATGTGGAGAATTGGCATGATTAAGCAGTCCGCACTAGAGATCTATCAAACTTTTAAGCAGGAAACAGCTAAGGAAAGGATCTATGATAATACTCGGGGTAGTTCTCTACTGCTTGAGGCCAGGACGGGAGTATTGCGAACCATGACTTATCGGACCAAATACAAAGGGGTAGACACGGTATGCAGTGCGTGTAGAAAAAAAGAGGAAAGTGCCGAACACTTGATAATGTTCTGTAAAGGGCTTCACCCTATAGTTCAGGATGATGGCGCAGAGTTCTTTAAAGCACTGGGGTTTAGGGACAAGGAGGGCAAAATAGACTTTATGCGGGTAGAATTAACTAGAAGGAGGTTATCTGATTGGTGGCTAAAGTCAAGGCACGAGTGAAAATTAAACCCTTCACTGCAAAGTACCAGTCCTCAACCTCACTATTTAAAGGGAAAAAAAGATAAATTTAGTTGTTGGTTCACTAAGTATTACGGCTAGGTGGCATTAGCCGCCGTCCGATCTAAAGGGTAGAGCCACATCAATCCATTTATTTTCGTGGTAGATGTTTTATGGCTCCGTGTTTTATGGCGTGGCTACAGTGTACTAGAAGTACACTCTAGCTGTGTGACGTGGCGTGTGGCCGATTGCACCGGCTAGCTTGCACGCTGGGCGAATCGGCGTCCGTGTTTTTTGTTGCCATGCCCCAAAAACTCGACTTCATGTGACAGTCTCTCACTGCGACGTAACAGAGATCCACGAAACAGAGAAAATGTCGGGTGTAATTTCAGGATGCAGTAGTGACTGTGCGTAAACGTCACCTGAAAGCAGAGTATCGTTCCATCATGGCGGCACCCTAGTGGTTATGGTAGAGTGTACTAGAAGTGTTGAGTGGCGTGACCGCGCCTCGCCACCTGACGCTTTCCGCGTTGCCCGTAGCGGCAGCGCTGCAGTCGAATAGCACTGAAAGAGCCACGCGCTGGAACTGCTAGGCGCTCCAGCGTCTCCGGTGCGCTTTTTTGATGCAGATTTCTTCGTACCTGCCCATCATTCATGTCTAGCTCTAGATGTCATAACCTTTGAAGTATTACACGTCAATCTACCGAATTTGAGCTCCATAAATGTCCGTGTGAGAGATCGAAAATTATTTAGAAAGGGCGTGTCTTATTCTGATTTTTTCTCTCAAATCTTTTTCGTTGAGCAGGCGTCTACAATATTAAATATAACTGAGTCGATTTATTGGAAGTTAGCTGCGCTCAGAAAGCTGTGAAATGAAAAAAAAAATACCGTGTCGAACGCACGCAGAACCAGGAGGCCGTAAGTAGAGAGGGGTGAGGAAGGGAATCTTAACTCCCTACACCGGGAAATGTTTCGTAATTTAACTTTTCACGGTATACTAAAATATTTACACGTATTCACAGCGACCACCAATTTCCAAAGTTAGTCGTTCTGCTGCACCTCCCCCCCCCCCCCCCTGAAAAAAGAGAAAAATCCCGAGCAGTCTTGCGGCAAACGTTTACAGTTGGTGAAGCTGAATATAGCGTGCCTCTGTACTAATGCGCACCGTAAATTTCACCTTTTCGACAGTATAAGGTCTCAAAACTAGTTCATGTCTAACTTAATTGGACAAAAAAAATGCACGGTGTAAAAATAGCGGCTGCTCTAAGTGGCACTGTATATATATATATATATATATATATATATATATATATATATATATATATATATATATATATATATATATATATATATATATATATATATATATATATATATATATATAGGAGTAATAATTCAATGGGCCAGTTAGTCTTCGTGAAGGTATGGGATATGGCACAACGGGAGCGTTGTCAACAAGGATAAATATATTTATTTCCCAACAGTTTCGGGAGGGGTCCTCCCTTCATCAGGGGATGAGTTATACTGACATGAACTTCCAAACTTCGTTGCTGCTGCGTCCCTCTCGCCTTGAAAGATGTTTGCGAGAGTGAGAGGGAACTAAAAAAAGGAAAGAAAACAAAAAAGGGGGGAAAAGACGAAAAAGAAAGAAAAGAAAGAAAGTAAAAAAGAAGAACCACTGTCAACACTGAGAACGAAACCAACTGTCCGTGTACGTCCACATACGGTTCATATCACGTGCTGTTCAGTTCTCGACGTGTGTCGGGCCACCCAAGATTGTCGCCGCAGTGCCGGGAGGGTCCGTGACGGCGTGCGTAAAGAAAGGGTTTCCCCGTAATGGGTCGGTCGGCGTGCGGCGTGCGTAAAGGAAGGGTTTCCCGTTAATGGGTCGGTCGGCTATTTAACTTTAATCTTCGTCCGTTTCCCTTCAATGGTCATCAAGTGGTAGGCGAACGTAAACACTTTGTATGTGCATTTGGAAAAAAAAAGGAAGAAAAAAAAGAAAAACAAAAAACAAGAAAGGACAGTGTACACATACGAGTCAGTCAGAAAAAAGCATGTGAATTATCGCGAAGTGAATTAAATTGAAATCTTGTGAATTATCGCGTGGCACCCGTTCTTCTTCCGACGGACCACCGCTACAGGGCAGCGGAAATAGCCCACGTATCCCGCATGAAGCCTTTCATACGGCGTTTTTCTTCGCTTTAGACTGCGGCCAAGAACTGCGGTCAGGATGACCGCTTTCACGTGGGGGGGGGGGGGGGGGAGTTAGTGTAGGCACTCATTAAGCACATCTACTATCTTTACACATATTCATCATCATGAGTGGTCGTCATCTTCATCTGCTGTGGGGACTTGGTTTTTCTGAGTTCCGTGCCTTGGGCGTGGTCACTTCATCGTGTCTTCTGGGCCTAATAAAGGTTGCCTTCACCGTTACATCACAATACATATAGTTGGCATAGATGATCAGAGTATCTTCTGATAACCGTAATAAAAATGATAAACTTCGAGAATAGTGCAGTATAGTGTACAAAACAATAATTTATTTATTTATTCTTATCAGTTTCGGCTGGTGGACCAGCCTTCTTCGGAAAATCTAAGCGAAATGATACAAGTTCCGTAGCAGAAGGCCACCCTCACTGTTTAGAAGACCCCGAAGCGAAAAGGAAAACAAGAAAAGAAAAAACGAATCGGTTAACGAGGCAAGCGACCGACAACAAGAAGACGAAGAAGAAGAAAGGAGCGAAGGAGAGCCGCCGGTAACTAGGGGTCGACGCGCCGCCCGAGGAAGCGACCAAGGAAAAAGTGAAACATACTGCCGCTTACTCGGGATGCGAGTAAGCGGCAATATGTTTCACTTTTTGTTTCACCAACGCCTAAAATGTTTCCCTAATGCCTGCCTACACTTTTGACACTTAATAAAAGAACTACATCTATGATACTAAACATCGCCATACATTTTCTCGCTTGAAATGGCGTTACGCATATATAATGTTGGGAAAGCAGTAAAGTTTAAGCTGTCGATACAAAATGAGAACTGATTACAGTGAGTTTACGCAGAGTAATTAACAAACTAGCTTTGTATACTATACAACTGGCACTCTTTAATATGTTTAAGATAACCTCTTTAGCACAGAGTTCTTGACTGGGAGGTACAGGCGTTCTTTCAGATTGGCTCACTGGCTCGGCCTCCTGGAGCTTGCATAAAAGAAGCAAATTGAGTGTGAAAGCACGCGGTTGAAACAAGAAATCCTTTCAGAAAGCAATAAATATTATTTTCCACAAAACTGGTGTTACATGTGTAGATTAACTGATGGCCAGGCGGTAGTGACAACCGTGAACAGTAGGCCATTAGGCCCGCGAAGAACACGAGAACATCTTGAGCCATTAGCCCAGAACGAACTGTTTTATTATTTTCCAAAACGGCCACCCCGCTGCTGTGCCCGGTTTGCACAGCTCAACACAACTATCAGCGCCGCGTAGGGGCGCTGCATTTAAACCAATATTGTAACAACTGGGATAATAAAACTAAATCGTCACCGATATAAATGTTCTGACGTTATTACTTAATTACAATCGGGTTCCTCATGAAACAATCAAGCGCATGTGGACCTATATGGGGACTTATACGAGCGTGGTTCTGATACTTCTCTCTTTTTGTAGCACGCCAGTAGCCACTTATGATGTAGCGCCACTCAAAGCAATGCTTGAGTGAAGAGCTAGGCGGATGCGTGCAAATTCTGATTGTGCATGTCTTTTTTTTTTTTTTTTTGTAGGCAGGCTCTCAAACAGTGAATGTCCCGACGCAATTTCTGCGTGACTGCAGGTTTAATCATGCACTATTGCGCTTAGCAAGTGTGCATACACTGATAAAGGCTCTGAAATGCATTAGACGCGCTAAAACAAGCAAATATATGCTTTCACGGGCTACTCGCACGCGCTCCCAATGCGGACGCTTTTGAGATCTTCAGTACCCTGCGACTCTAGCGCCGCCGCTAATGTCACCCGCTGGAGAATCAGCCGAGATACGGTGCGGCCGCCTCGTTCACTCCACTGCCCCCTCCTAGTGTATTGTAGTTATGGGTTGTTATGGGTTTTAATCATGGAGGAATGTTTTTAATGCATGAACCCTATGGGGAGCTTTTTCTCTAGAGTCTGTATGTTAGGTCTATGCCGCTACTACCGCTACCATAGCCTCCTAGATTTACCTTGCCTGCCATCGGCGGTCACTTGGGAAACGGCCGTCGGTGGAACTATGGTAGTGACGCTACTTAAGTAGGGGCCTCTTCAAATAAGCTTTTACGTTTTTAAAGCTTATATGCAATAAAAATAATGCAAAAAGTTTTAAGAAGGCGTGAACTTAATTATAAAAAACATTACGTAAGTGCCGTTGCTATAAATGACAAGCATTTTGCGCTCATTCAGCAGGCAACCTTTTCAATACAAGGCAAAGCCTCTGAAATTAGCAAACGCCAAAATTGCTTACCTCAAAGGCCAAGTACAAAGACCTTTACCCCTACGTAGGTAGCGCCACAATAGATGACGGGCGTTTCGCGCTCATCCGGCAGGCAAAAGAAATCTAGGAGGCTATGACCGCTACAGTGTAGCAGCACAGAACTTCTCAGGTGTTTTCCGACTTCTCTAAACAAGCATGGTGGGGTGTTTGAAGGTGGTGAGTATTTGTCTCCTACACGTCAAGCTCAACATGCTGTGTCCGGCAGTTATGTATGCTGGGAGCGTGTGTCAAGAATTTCTTTTTCAGCAATGAAGTATTTCATCGTAGTGGTACGAAGTGATCAGTTGTAGCCGAACATGGAATGAGGCCAACGTAGTTCTGACGGGGTTCGTCGTCACAGCAGCGACGGCGTGGCTGCCGTGGCGTTTACTTTCCAATTTCATTTCCCATCACTTACGCTAGTTGTGAGGTGTCAAACTTGTGCTTATTAAGAGGCGCGAATCCGTACAGTAGAGACGCATAAGCAGGATTCGCGTCCGTCCTATTTAGGCGTTTCTCTCCTATCTCTGTTCGATCCGTTACGTTTGCCAAGATGCGCAAGTCCAATCACCAGTTACTGCACGGGCATGGCCAGATGGGAGGGGGGGGGGAGAGAAAGGAACCCCTTTTCTTTAAACTTTTCGATTTTGTTTAGGTATTCACCGAGATTTAAAAAAGCAAAGACAAAAACTGATTCATAAGAAGCCATTACTGAACTAGCGGTGAGGGGGAAAGTTCATAAATTCATAGTTTTGCTTCAGGATACATTTGAGACACTATGAGGTAATCGACATTAGCGTTCACACAGTGAACGATAATCTTACTAGTATCATCAAAGAGTGTAATGGAAGTCGGAGGTACAGTCACTATAAAGGACACGGGCCAACTATCTCAAGAGACGAAAAATCTTATTAACAGACGACAAACTATGAAGAGCTAGTGGAGCTTTCGAAGTTATTCTATAGGTGTAAGATAGCCGACATCAGAAGGTATAACATGAAGAGAATTGAGCGGGCTGTAAAAAGTGGCAGAAGCCTAAAAGCTGCAAAGGCCAACTTGTGCATAAGCAAAAATATGAATATGCATTGAGCAATAAGGAAGGCGATGTCACTCATAACCAATTGGAATACACAGTGTTCATGTGATGACACTTCCGCCTTTGTCGCCCTCTCCCGCCATGCCCAGGTGCCTCCCTGGGTACCTATGGCAGTTCGCGTGCTGCAGCACGGTCTGTTGGGGGCTCGTCATCTGTTGCTGTGTACCATGTTGAAAGGGAAGCATTGTGGTTTTTTGTTGTCGTACTTTAACGAGCTCATCGTATCAGGAAGGCCTCGTTTGTTCACTCGATACAAGACGAGAAAATCAAGATATGCGACACATATACCAGCCACCACGTACACCGGCTGCCAGCTACGACCTACGAGGGCCCAGTATCCCGCTTTCACTACAAGCACTACCAATTGCATAGCGCAAGAACAAGTGAAAACCCAAAGTCTCTCGAGCCGCAATTTTAAGAGTGGCTGAGCGAAGAGCAGCAGCTCCCATCGAGAACGAGTCGTGCAGAGCTAGGCAAGTTTACAATAGATATAATATTAATGTATTGCTGCGGCCAGCGCCCCTCCCCCCCCTAAGTATTTTAAACAGTGCTGATGTCGAGCCTCCTTGATTGAAATCTGTGGAAACAGCCGAGGAAAGTATTGTGTGAGGCCGATAAAGACTTTGTGTGGTGCGTGCCGTGGTAATGCCGATCATCACTTTTTCTTGTGTATGTTTCGACACATTTTTAACCTTGTATTTTACTTTTTTGTATGCTAATGTACATTGGAGTCCTTGAAAATGATGGAGACAGTCTTAGGTAATTAATAGATCAATTTTTCAAAATCCTGACCACCCCCAACTCGAACCGATCGGCTATACTTCAAAGTGAAGTAATATTGTTTTGCATCCATTTTCACAGTTAGTTTCAATGCAATACCTGAATTTACGCGATCGCCATCACGATTTTAACCGCCTCCCTGACACGCTTATAGTGAACGCAGTGGTTGCGGACAAATTTGTATGTACAGTATCTTGGTAAGCTATCTCTGTTTGCAGGTAAGTGTTGGCTATGGCACTTACCCGGAATGAAGTTGCACCTGAAGACGCAAACAATCACCGAGTTTCTTCAAGTAGTTTTCTTGTTAATCCGCGCCAGCCAATCACGCTGGTACTTTTCGAAAAATCGCAATGTGCATTCTCAATTTTAGGCAATAACTTTTGGCGAAGAAACACCCCGAAGCTCTGCTCCCTCTTTGGGGGCTACTAAATCAACTTGCCTCACTAACAGCCCTCAAACTTGCATCGTGAGGCAAAACTAAACGGGCGCAAGCACGAGAAGACAACACGGCAGCGGTAGGCGACGGAGTTGGTAGGTACCTGGGCATGTCGGTGGCGCATTTCGGAAGTGATGAAGGGGCGCTGCGTGACGCACGTGCACACTACGTATAGGATAGTCGAGGTGGCAGAGAGCTGTACAGAAGCCAGAACAACCAGGATGATACCGTGACAAACAATAATAGCCAGAGAAGTTCCACATACTACCAGTAATGACAGGAAAAGTAAGGAAAGCCCTAGAGGGAATGCTAGGAGGCATAGCTGCTGGTGAGAATAAGGTAACAACGGACCTCCTGAAAGATGGTGGAGAAAATGTATAAGAAAAGCTGGCCACCTTATATATGAAGTATCTCTTTACAGGGAGGGTTCCAGAACCTTGGAAGAACGTCAAGATCATCTTAAACCATAAGAAAGGAGACATCAAGCACTTGAAAAATTACAGGCCGATCAGCTTACTGTTCGTTCCCTACAAACTATTTACAAAAATAATAGCTAATACAATTAGGGCGAGTTCAATCAACCAAAGGATGTTCTGGATGTCAACCAAAGGCAGTTCTGGATGTTTTTCGCAGAACCACTCTTCAACTGAATTCTGAAAAGTGCTGTTCTGGATGGCGTGAAATCACTATACTCTGTCACCTTGTAAGTGCTGCCGGCGTACAACCGGACCCCGATAAGGTGTGGGCAGTGCAAGAATTCGCGGTACCGTGCTCAACCAAGGACGTCCACAGTTTTGTAGGATTATGTTCCTGTTTTCGTCGCTTCGTCCGCAATTTCGCTCACATTGCCCGACCTCTTACTGATCTCTTAAAAAAGGACGCTTCTTTCACGTGGGGTGCTAAGCAAGCTGACTCCTTTTCTACCCTTATCCATCTGCTGACTACGTCACCAATACTGGCCCATTTTGACCTTGCTTCGCATACAGAGCTTCGGACCGATGACAACGGCCACGAAATTGAGGCCGTCCTCGATCAACGACAGGGCGGCAAGGATCAAGTAATTTCTTACACCAGTCGTGTCCTTTCGCCCACTGAGCAGAAATTCTCCATCACTGAGCGTGAATGCCTAGTGTTAGTGTGGGCTGTGACCAAATTCAGGTCCTATCTATATGGGCGAACGTTTTCCGTTGTCACAGACCATCAAGCTCTCTGCTAACTCTCATCACTAAAGGTCCTGTCTGGATGTCTCGGTCGCTGGGCACTACATCTTGAAGAATATTTATTTGAGGTACATTACAAGTTCGGGCGACTTCACACAGACGCAGACTGTTCGTCACGTTATCCAGTTGAAGAGCACAAACTACAAGACCTTGACTCGAACCCCTGCGTGCTGTTCATCGGTGCTTTGCTTGACATCGCCAATGAACAGCGACGGAACCCATCGTTAGTGGCTATTATTGACCATCTAACGTGCCCATCATCCGACCTGCCTGTCCGTCTGTTCGAGCTGAATGACAACATTCTGTATCGTCACAGCTTCAATGCTAATGGCCCGTATATACTACTTGTGCTACCCTGCCATCTATGCAACAGTGTCCTGAAACAACTTCATCATGTACCAACTGCCGGTCACCTTGGTGTCTCTCGTACATACGATCGAGTGCGACGTCCCTCTTTCTGGGCTGGTGCGTATCGTACCACCACATATCGTACCGTTACGTCACCTCATGTGACGACTGCCAACAACGAAAGCGCCCCTCGGTACAGCCTTCTGGCCACCTACACCCTATCTACATACCTATGGAGCCATTCTTTAGTGTTGGACTTGACCTGCTAGGTCCTTTTCCTACGTCCACCTCTGGTAATAAATAGGTTGCTGTTGCCACGGATTATAACACATGCTTTGCCATCACTCGAGCACTGCCGACGAGTCCGCGACTTTCTTTTGTACGACGTCATTCTACGTCATGGCACTCCTCGACAGCTGCTTACCGATCGAGCAAGGTACTTCCTTTCACATATCGTCGGCAACATTCTCCGTACTTGCTCCACTCAGCACAAGCTTACCACAGCCTATCATCCCCAGACAAATGGATTGACCGAGCGTCTCAATCGAACGCTTACTCAGATGCTGTCAATGTACGTTTCGTCTGGTCACCCTGACTGGGACAGTGAACTGCCATTTGTCACCTTTGCTTCACGACATGATACAGCAGGTTATTCACCATTCTATTTGCTATTCGGTTGCCATCCAGTGTTACCATTTGAGACCCTCCTTCCTTTGACCAGACCCTTGTCTACTACATACGCCAGCGATGTCATTGTTCGAGCACATAAAGCTCGACAAGTCGCCTATGACTGACTATCTTTGTCGCAAGCACAGCAAAAAGGTCGTTACTATAGTTGACATCGAAGCGTCCACTTCACTCCGGGATTTCTGGTACTCCTTTGGTCACCCTGCCGCCAAGTCGGCTTATCTTCCCGTTACAACGGCCCCTATAGAATACTCCGCCGACTCAGCGACGTCAATTATGAGATCGCACCTCTCGACTCAGCTTTGCCCAGGTCACCCCAAACAGGCATTGTACACGTTTCTGGACTGACGCCATATTACCCTGCTAGCTCTTCATCGCCTTAGAAAGCGCCGCGACGGCGCTTCCGCCACGAGAGGGTAATGTTATGGTGCGACATAGACATGAACCAGTGTAGTGGTTGCCGAAGATGAAGACGACGAGAAAATGTGGAGCTGGCGCTGGGTACTCTTCGGCCATATCGTCTGGCTGACGATCAGCTGTTTGAATAAACCTCGATCTAGCCTCCGTCACAATATTTACTTTAGAGCAATGAAACCTGAGCAGTTTATAG